CGTTACTAGATTAACTGCGTGTCTGTTCCAACCCATCGCTAGCCTTCCCCGCGTTTGGGTCTAGCCAGCACGCCACACGGGCACGCCGAATTACCGTGCGTAGTCCGCCCGACCGTGACATTGAGGCTGTCTATTCTAGTCTTTTTGGAGATGGGAATAATGGTGGAGGCCGTCAGACAGGTGGGAATAGAGTCAGGAAGGGTCTGAACAGCCTGGTGAGGATCCCTGCCAGCTGATCCGTGCAGGCTTGAACCAGAGCCCCTGGGATGCAGTTGGGGCCAGCAGCTCTCCTATTACTCCTACACCTACTCTCCTTTATTAGGAGAACCTGGATGGTTCTGTTAAATGTCCCGTTCTGTACACAGCACTTAGGACAGACTGAGAGAAGGTCTCCAGGTCCTGCTGTTCAAAGATGGACCAGTCTGTCAGATCAAAACAGTCCTGTAACTGGAGGAGAGCATCATCTGATTTAAGTGTGTGTGTGTGTGTGTGTCTGTGTGTGTGTGTGTGGCACTTGGTAAAGTGTAAAGCTAAAATAGGTCTAAAACATTGCATAAATCCGTTGGTATTTGGGTTATTCAGCTATGTTGGGTTTTTGGCTGTTACACGTTTCCAGCAGTAGAGGGCAGGCACGGAAAAAAGAAAAAGAAATGTTCTGGAGAAGAAGAAGTGAAGATCATGTTTGTTCTGTATGTAAAGCCATGGTTCTGGGGTACCCAAATAAACTCGGTTTGCTGTTTACACCAAGTTGTCCTGGAGTGGTGTAACATGTGCAAGAGAGAGTGTGAGCGAGGGTGGGGCCCCACCCGGTCACTGTGAGCATCCTTCAGGAGGTTGGTGTCCTTGGCTGCCACCATATGGAAGTTTTGGTCGACGCCCAATAGGAATTCAAACTCAGTTGCTTGCTAGCTCTGTCCCTGTTTGTCAGACCTCAACATTTATACAGGATTGTTCTATGTGCGTGTGATTGTGCTGTAAATGTGCTGGAATGTGTTCACAGGTTTTCAGTCAATAAAAAGTCATGTGATGAGATAAAAGTTTGAGCTTCAGTGTGTAACAAAGCCTTTGGGGTTAGCATTTTGTGATGTGCGCCTGCCTTGGAAACACTCTCCTCACCACTGAGTTTTATATCAGTTAATGAAATTCTGATTAGTATTGTAAGTTTGTCTTCATGTGAATTAGCTATTGATGTGACTTTTCCTTTTCCAGAGTAAATGACTGCATCCTTCGGGTGAATGATGCTGATGTGTCTGAAGTTTCCCACAGTAAGGCGGTAGAGGCCCTAAAGGTCGCAGGTTCTGTTGTCCATTTGTATGTGCGGCGCCGCAGGCCTATGCTAGAGACAATCATTGAGCTCAAGCTAATCAAAGGACCAAAAGGTTGGTATAGACCTGAAAAGCATGATTTTGTGCATTATAAATTTGAGAGAATAGTTGATGATATCTCAGTGATACTGCTGCACATTTTGTGTATGTCAAGTAGAGGTGGGAATCCCCATACATCCCACGATACGATATTATCACAATACTTAACGCACGATACGATATTATTGCAATTTTTAAAAATATTTTT